TTCTCAGAAGGTATATTTATTTAATTTTCTTCATAAACAAACTAAAATATTTTCTTAGAAACTATGAGAAGTATGCTCTGTGATTGCCCGAATTGTGGCAGTGTAGATATATTGTGGCAGTGTATATATTGTGGCATTGTATTTCAGACATTGAATTTTTGACAGTGCATATATTGTGGCAGTGTATTTCAAACATTGAATTTTTGGAAGTACATATTGTGGCTAACATTATGGCAGTGTATATATTGTGGCAGTGTAGATATATTGTGGCAGTGTATATATTGTGGCAGTGTATATATAATACAAATTTGTTTAATTAAGGGTAATATTGGGAATTCATCTCAAAAACTTATAGCACTGCTATTTTACGTATTATAAGCCTATTAAAGTGCTATATTCGTATTTCTCCCTATTTTTAATTTTTACTCCTCTGTTCATTTTTTTCCCTTAGAATATTCAAAAGTAATGCTTGTGCACTAACCATATAAGCATTCTCAATAAGCAAAAGACCAATATGATGTGTTACAGGGGCATATTTAGCACTTTGCGCATGCGACTTAGAGCACGGGCAATAGCAAGGTAAAAATGGAATACCACACGCTGATGTGCAAAATTTAAACTAATGAAAAATAATCTAGTCACCGTGTGACAAGTGAAAAGAGTAACATGTTCTGCAGTGGAAAGTCATTTTTTTTCACTTTTTACATTTTTTTATGTTCTTTAATTATTAAAAAATATTTTATTTATTTTTTTCAAAAAAAATAAATAGACGCACTCTTTTAAAAAAAATACTCTCCGTTTTAAAAAAATTCGGTTTGACTTGACACAGAGATTAAAAAAAGTTAAAAAGTATAAAGACTTTCTATGTGTTGCCCTTAATGTGATGGAATAAAGTGAATGGTGTAGATAAAACATAGGGGTATAATAGCACATTTATTAAAAGTTTTTTGCCAAAGTAGAAAACGCGAAAGAAATTTTTGGACAATCCAAAATGGAAAGTGAGAAAGAAATTATTGGACGGATGGAAGTACTTCTTTCTTGTACCAACAAAAAAGAAAAGAAAAGAAGAAGCCACATGGATGCCTCGACGGGCAGGGTGACACACACACATATTGCCACTCAACGATTTGAAGGGGAGAGAGCTTAGGTAGGAACCACTTCAACTCATGTCATGGCCTATTATTGAAGATTGGTTTTCCTGGCTTGTGGTTATCCTATCTGAGACCTAACAAACGCATTATATTACGCATACCAGCTATTGCTAGCTTCCTACTCAACCCCTAGAACATGTATGTATCATGTATAGTACAAAACCTAACACTACTGCAAATGTACTAAACCTAACACTTGCCATAAGGACAAAACAGAAGGTTAATAAAAGTTATTAAAAACTAGGTAGTAGATGATTTAACCATTTGGCAGGGCAGGGCAGGGCAGTAAAATACTCTACAGATCTGTACAAAAGTTATCCACCCCTCTGATATGTACAAATCAGCCATAAAGTGCCAACCACAATTAAGCAAAAGTCACAATCTCTGTAGGAGAGTGTACTGTGTTGCCTATTTAATATCTTAAGGAAAGGAAAAATAGAAGAAACAGAAACAGATAGATCGAGAAAAGTTTTAAAAAAGGGCACTGAGATTTGTAGGGTAGGGGACCATATATCTCTACCGGTCCCTCTCCCTCCTCTGTATTTACATCTAGCTTTCATTCTTTGCAGTTTGCAGTAACATGGTTGGTTCCTACATTTTAACCCTCATCTCATCCTCACACTTTGCATTCATTACACTGGCCTTCCACTTCAAAAAAAAAAAAAACCCCCCCCCCCTTGGAATTTAAATTCATTGCCAAGTATTTAGTGTGTACCATACTAGCCTTAATCCAAGCACACTGCACACTTATATTAGAGCTCTGGTTAGTTTGGCAACTAGCCTACCCTACGCAGTACGCAAGGACAACCTACGTGAACAACGGGCGTTAATTTTTGTAACAAAAGACTAAAAGCACAACATTCTTTCCCAACTCAGTTAACCATGGATGGATACAACTTTCTGATCCTAATTCTTCAATTATTAGTAATGTTTTTGTAGACACATTGAATATCCAACTATGTATGCATAGTACCCAGGATTGAAAGACAGGGATAACTTGGGGTGAATTGAAGAAAGAGGAACCCTAACATATGTGAAATTCAATCTTTCCCAATCAATTCCAACAGTTACATAGGGCTGCAAAGAGGGAAAATGAATGGCACATCAATAATCAGAAATACTTTTTAGGAATATGGCTTAGTTTGGTCGATTCGGGGATGTAATTTATCAGCTGCTACAAGTTTTGTTGAGTGAGAGAAGGATGCTTGAGATGATGGAATTGATGAGGGACTTTCAATTCTTTTTGCAAGTTTAAGGAAGTTGTTGAGATATCAATGGCATTAGAAAACAGTAAGAGCAACACCACAATCAATAACATACATAAAGACAGCTCTCTTTCAACTACATTGACTGTTTTTCTCAAGTAAGCAAAACACCTGTTATTTTGCTTTCATGCTGGTTTCAATCCTAAGGAGAAAGAAACAACATCAACATCACCACAACATACCTAAGAACATGCTCAAGGCCTCTATCATATCCAAGGTGACATATTTTGAGAACCATTGAAATATGGAAACTCGTAAAACAAAAACAAAAAATGCACGAACTGTATAGCTTACAAGACACTAAATTCATAAACTTCATTGAAGACCCACTGGTCCGAAAACAGAAACACACAACAGAACTGGAAATAGTTCAGCTCGGGAAGCTCAATCAACCATACATGAAATAACGATTAACAGTTGAATTATTATTTTAACGGGACAAATACAGAAAATGAATAAACCAGGGATAGAAACACCTGAAACTATGCTCAGAATGAATCTAACCACGGGTGGTTGCCGCGCCGTTGACATAGACTCAGTAATATTCCTCTCCAGTCTATCCCTCCAAGATCTCCTGCAGATACTAAATCTTTTGCACGAAATCATGACTTCAAGAAACAGTCAAGCATCAAGACCTGCAATTGAATTCAATGTAATAGTGGGCCATGTTTTAAAAGGATGCATCAGTGGGCGCAAAATGAACAAAAGGATGTACCTTGGAGGGAGGAAAAGAGTGGAGCTTGAGAGGGCGAATTTAACGGCGGGAATCAGAGGAAGCAGAGGATGGCCTATCTGACATGCCATCGTGCTCCTCTTCACCTTGGATTCGTGCAGGAATGCGAAACCCAGACAAATCTCCTACTCCAGTGGAGAATCCTAAACCGGGTAGGGAAGATGATGGATAAATGGGTAATTGGTAGTGCTGGTTTGGTTCAACACCAGCGGCAATGGCTATGGCCGATGATTGGTCCATCCAAGCACGAATCGAAGGCGAGTAACTGGACTGAAGGGGTCCCCTCTGAGAAGAAAGATACTGACTCGGCCCACCGAGCAACTGCTGAAATACTGGCTGATGAGGCGAACTGAACAAGAATCCTCCTGTTTCCGCCGATGCAGCACTGCAGGCAGCTGCTTCTCCGCCAGCGTTCCAAGCTGGAAACCTCTGCTGGTGGTGGTCAGACCAGCCGCCGGAAGCATCAAAGAGGGCTCTATGGCTAGCGGCGCTCTTGTGGTGCTGATGAGGTTCTTGCTGGTCTTGGTGGTGGTGGAGAATGATAGTGGTGGTTGGATCTTGAAATGACTGTAAAGAGAGCCTCAAATCTTGGGTCTGATTGCATGTTCGGGGCAGCAAATCGGACTGATGATGATGTCCGAAGCTTGGGAAGTGCATAGATGAAGAAGAATTTGCCTCCTCTGAAGCTCCCATGGGGAAGAAGGATTTGATGGTGTCAGCAATGGCGTCAGAATCCAAAGAAGGAGGCAAAAAGCTCGATGGTTTTTGTTTCTCCGGCGGGAGCATCATCATAGCAGGTCTCTTACTAGAAGAAGGTCCGGCAACAGTATTGGCACCTCCAGAGTCGAAATTCTGGTCACGGGGTTTCCAGGCGGGGAGTTCAGCCAGCTCATCAATGGCCGGTTTGGCCTTCTTGATGAGCCAATCGACGGCCTTGCTGGGTCGGTCGTAGCCGAGCCTGTCTTGGACGTCGTAGAACTGAATGGCAGTGTGGGCGGCTAGCCGGACACGGCGGTCCCTGGGGCCTTTTGCCGTGCAGACCTTGCTGTGGCGGTCTTTCCGCCCCGTGGACCTGACAATGTGGCCGCCTTGCACCTCTACTATCTCGCCTGCCGCCGCGCTCCTCATTCCAAACCTTGACGACCTCTGCTGACGATTCTCCCCCATTCTTCCGACCAATCTTGCATGTTCCACCGTACAAGGAATATAGGACGACCGTTTCTTGGGCTGTGGCTGTGGCTGTGGCGGCGAACCTTCTCCTTCTTCTTCCTCCTCCTCCTCCTCTTCCTCTCCTTCTCCACCTCCGCCTCGATTTTGGTTCAAAAAATGTTGCTTCCGATGAGGATCCAGAGTCTGACCCGTTTCTGGTTCCAGCTTTTGACAACCTTTTCACAGTTTGGCTTTCCACCCTCTTCTTCTTCTTCTTCTTCAACCTCTGCAATCTGGAACTAGCCATTCAAACTTTGCGAATTCCATCCCAAGTTGCCCAGAAGAAAAAAAAAAGCATCCAAGAAATCAGATTGGGTTCTTAGGCCTACCCCATTCTTTGAAATATACTTTTTACACAAATAGCTATTGATGTTTATCCCTCCCTGCTTGTGTACTGGATAGTCCAAAACTGGAAAGGTGCACAGAAAGGAGCCAACAATTGAAGAGAGAAGAAAAAGAAGCAGCTGAAATAATGCTGTCAAGGTTCAAGAACCCATGTGGCAACTTTGTGCAAAATGTTCATGTCGAGAGAGGGAGAGAGATTTATACGGAGAATCAAAAAGGTCTTTTACGAGAGAGAGAGAGAGAGGTGATGGTTACGTGCCGGAGGGAAGAGAAGCGTATAGTAGATGCCAGTCAGTGGAGAGGGTTCTTGCAGTGTTAGGTCAGATTAAAGGCCTCTGTAACGTCATCACTGTGACACTACCTCTGCCCTCTCCTTGCTTCTACAACTGCAATTACTGTTAATCTTTTGAGCAATGCTAGGTGTACCCCATTTGTTCTTCATCCCTTTTCCCACCACTTAATTTTATTTTATTTTTATTTATTTAATTTTTTTTAGTCTTCTGACTTTTTTTTGTGGTTATGGAGGGGTGGGGGACAAATGAGGTACACCTTTGGAGTACACCAAAGGTATACCCCTAGCATTTTTCTAATTTTTTAGTCTCTTACCTTTGTTGTACCTCTAGTATTTTTCTAATCTTTTTTCGGTTCTTCCATCAAGTGCCCATTTGAAGTTAGGAAACCTAATCTCTTATTTCGAATTCGCATATCAATAAAAAAATTGAAATTATATATTAAAAAATTACGTCACAAATACTACAAAATAAGAGGTAAGAAAAATATTTTATTTTATCAAATATTCAATAAAAAAATACAAATAAACAAAAATTATCGAGATGAGAGAAATAAAAGCGTGTAATCTGCTTCAGGAAGAAGGGAATACGGAGTATTAACTTTTTTCCAAAATTACTGCTAAAAAAAAAGCATCCCAAAACACAATCTCAGTGTTTATAAATAAAGTTTAATGATAAATAAAGAATATGTATGCTGACAAAATTGATGTGGCACATCATTTGTGTACTCCTAATGATGGTGTAAATATAGCTGGGTGGGTTGACCGGATTTGACCTGGACACACTCGACCCGTAATAAAATACACACAACAGGAACACAAAGTATTCGAAATTTTACCTCCGTAAAGGGGCTCTACTTCTCCCGCAAATCGTATAACGCGAGGGAGTAGGTATGCATATAAAATAAATCTACAATCTCAATAAAGAAAACATGTTTCCGTGAGATGAGAACTTTTTTCTCATCGAGAAGCGTTACAAAAAATATTAGACCTTTGTGTTTTAGCAATTATTCGTTGAAAACTCGTTTTTATGGAAAGTAGTCAAATCCCTTTTTCGATCTTAAAAATTTCTTTTAGAGAATACAATTATTTCAATAATACTTTAGAACTATTTGATTTAATCAAGTAAAAACACTAGCTTGACAGAAGACTTTCATATTTCCAATGGTATGTGTTAGCCTAGTATATTTATGTATATTTGTTTATTGTGTATTGGGCCGTGTATAGTTTGGCCTGTGACTTGTATTCTCGGTTATGTATATAAACTCCCGGTGATTAATGGAAAACTCAGTTTCACGTAAAATATTTCTACATGGTATCAGAGCGATCCTAGGGCAAAGTCTCGAAACCCTACGCTCGTGTTCTCATTCGTGTGCCGTCCGGTGTGTTCGCCGTCAGTTCGGCGGTGTCTGTTCGTCATTGGTGCGCCGGAGATTAGAGCCTCTCGGCCTTCCTCCGTCGCTGGTCTGTCTGCCGTTAACCGCTGCCGTCATCTCCTCGCCGGCTCGCGTGTTCAACGTCCGTCCCCATGTTCGGCGAAATCGTGGCTTCTAACCCTAAAAAGACTCGGCTCATTCATGATCCTTCTTCCATATATTACCTTCACCCCTCCGAAGGCCCGGGTAACTCCTTGACAAAATAAGAGTGACAATATTGATGTATGGGAGAAGGAAATCCGTAATGCTTTGGGTGGTCGTGGAAAATTTGTGTTCTTGTCATCCGGAGGTGTTCCCAAACCTACCGATGATCAGGAATTGTCTGCATGGTGTGCTAATCATCAAATTTTTTGTAGTTGGATTTTTAACAGTGTTGATGAATCTATCCAACCTAGTATTATCTCTCATTCAATTGCTTATGAGTTGTGGGATGATTTAAAGAAACGATATAGTTGCTCTAATGGGCCTCGTGTGTACCAGTTAAAGTCAGAGCTGAATTCTTTACGCCAAAAAGGTCAAAGTGTTGTTTCCTACTACAACCAATTTATTACTTTATGGAATCAAATGTATGGCTCCTCAGATCTTACTGGGGGCTGCCGGTGTGAGGCCGCAGGGGTCATGCGCACCCGTATTGATCGTGACAAAACCGTGGACTTCTTGCTTGGATTGGATGATGAACAGTTTGGAAATATTCGTTCTCAAATTATAGGCACTGAACCGGTGCCCGATCTCGACCGTGTGTATTTTTTGGTTACCTAGGAGGAGCGCCATCATCATATCGTTTGCACTCGGGACGATCGCACGGACTCCGTTGCTTTCGCCGCCCGACCTGACAAACGCCCTCTCATTCCAAACAGGTCTTGTTCGCATTGTGTTCGTACCAATCATAGCGTGGATACTTGTTTTGAGCTCATCGGATTTCCAGCACAGTACGCTCGTGGTGGGGGGCGGGGTCGCGGCAGTGGCTCTACAGGTCGGGGGGCTCGGCGTCCGGTGGCCGTGGCTCTACTCGGCACGGCAGCGCCCCTCACACCCCTGCCGGCAGTGGGCAGCCTGGTCCAGGGCAGTAGCGGCGGTCCTCCAACAGCTGTTCATGCCTCCGTGTCTGACTCGAGTGGCAACCTCAGTGATCAAATGTCCCGCTTGATGTCTATGTTAGAGGCATCCGCTTCTCATGCATACACCGGTAATTCTTCTTCTGATTGGTTAATTGATAGTGGCGCTTCGCATCACATGACAGGTTCTCTCATACACTTATGCAATGTTGAGGATGTTTCCCCTCATTCTGTCTGTCTCCCTGATGGGTCTCGTGTCCAGGCCACAAGACAGGGAAGTGTTCATTTGTCATCTTGTTTGGTATTACGTAATGTGTTATACATACCAAACTTACAGTGTCACTTGATTTCTGTTGGATGTTTGATTCGTGATAATACTTGTTATGTAACTTTTAATGATCATCGTTGTATGATACAGGACCGTTCGTCGAAGATGGTGATTGGACAGGGTGATTTGCGAAATGGCGTGTATGTCGTTGCATCTGTTCCTGTGTCAGCCCTCGTAGCCAATCTTGATCCTTTTGTTTTTCATCAACGTTGACATTCTTTCGTTTCTTGGTACCGATAAAACACAATCTGTTGTTCAAAAATTCCAGACTTGTGACATTTGTTTTATGTCTAAGCAAACTCATTCCCCATTTCGTATTAGTGATAATAAAGCTGATGCTATTTTTTATTTAATTTATTGTGATCTGTGGGGACCTTATTCGCCTTGTATTTCGTCTGGGGCACATTATTTTCTGAAAATTGTTGATGATTTTTCTCGGGCTGTCTGGGTTTATTTGATTAAATCAAAAAGTGAGGTCACTTCTTGTCTACGACGTTTTTTCATAATGATCAACACCCAATACTCCAAAACCATAAAAATTGTTCGTTCTGATAATGGCACTGAATTTCTCAATTCTTCATTGCGTCAGTATTATGATAGTTTGGGTGTGTGTATTCAAACGTCTTGTGTTGGTACCCCACAACAAAATGGGCGGGTAGAACCTAAACATCGTCATATACTAAATGTGGCCCGATCCCTTATGTTTCAAGCGTCTCTTCCACTAGAATTTTGGGGGGAGTGTGTCAAAACAGCAGTCTACTTAATTAATCGCACTCCTACTAAAATCCTCGGGGGAAAATCTCCTCTTGAAGTTCTTTCTTCTAAACCTCAAGATTTGAGTCATCTTCGGGTTTTTGGTTGTCTTTATTATGTCCATCCTATTCCTAAACCCAAAAATAAATTTTCCCCAAGAAGTATCAAGTGTGTGTTCATGGGCTATCCCTATGGTACCAAAGGGTGGCGCATTTATAATCTTGAAACGCATACGTTTTTTCATGCGAGGGACATCTCCTTTGATGAAACAACCTTCCCGTTTGTCGTTCATACTCCCTCGCCCAGTTCTCAACCCATCCTCACACCCTCATCAGCCGATTTTTCCGTCCCTCCCACCCCCATTACAACTGCCGTACCAGCTCCCCAGCCGCTGGTACCGTCACCCGTCACCCCCAGCAGCCCGCCCAGCCACTATCTCTGTCCCCCTCGCTGTCTGACACAGCCGGCCCCCCCGTCTCCTCCAACGACGACGACAGCCCCACTCCCTCCACGGTGGAGACCACTTCTCCACCGCCGACAACTCCCCCCTTCCGCCTTGTAGCCGTCGTCGTCCATCTCATCTCAACGACTATGTTCTTAATTCCGCAAAGATTGTCACTCCGGCTCCGGTCACCTCCTGTTCTTCTCCTTCTGGTACTCGGTTCCCTATCACTAACTTTGTTCATTATTCTAAGTTGCATGACAGGTATAAAGGATTTCTTGGAGCTATTGATGCCACATCTGTTCCCCGCAATTTCCGTGAAGCGGTACAGTTTGCCTCAT